ATACTTTAAGATTATATGTAAAACATGAAAAGACTAATTGTTTAAGTATATTTAACAGAAGAAATAATAATGATAATTATATAAAAAAAAACAACAATGTTTATGTAATCCGTAAATTAAACTATCTGAGGCAATTGTCTATGTTTTCTTGTTAATGTTAGTCTTGGTCTTCACTGCTCTTTTTATCCAGTTTTTTTAATTGTATACGCTTTCCAACTTTATAAATTTATCTCTTTAAAATATGAACTTTGTTCCAATTTATAAACTAAAATGACAACTTCCGTCAAAGAAAATTTTCGTATGTAAACTATCAACTTCCCAGAGGAATCTTCTTATAAAATGAAATATTTCGTTCAATAAATCTTCTCAAATATTAACGTGAACAGGAATCTGCATCTAAACCTGAACCTCAACCGTCTGGAACCCTACAAAAGCATTAAAATATCCCTAAGTGTCTTACGTATGTATTTAGATTACCTTTACGTTTATAAACTCTCATTAAAAAAACTAATTTAAAATGCATTTGTAATGATTAACCAACAATAATAATCATTCCTTAGACTGTGCAACAGATTTATCATATGCTTAATACTTTGCAAAGAACAATTAATTTTTAAATGTGTCTTAAACATTTGAAAAAAATAATAAGTCTAACATACCGTCAGCTTTACTTATTCCTACACATCCTTTTTATTACTTATTTGTCATCAATGTGACCACTTAATTTATGTGATAATGTCAATGATGTGACTTTAAACTTGCTACAGCTAAATTGTCATCGATGTGACTTTTTAATCATGTCAAAGATTTGACCAATTTTCTTTTATACACACATTATCGATTCCACCTTCGAATCCACATTCTAACCGCTTTCTGGCAAATGCACCCTTTTATCTTGCATACACATTATTAATATTTCTCTCTCACTAAAATAAACATAAAATAAACATGAATCCCACACTCTGTTAAAATAGCAGATCATTAGGCTAGACGGGTGATAACGAGATCCCTTAGAATTCCTTTGATTTAATCTGATCATAGAAAGTTAAGCGCTTGTTCACCCTTAATTCCCCTAGAATTTGTCAGATACCTTATTGATAAAACTTGATATTCCGGCTTGTATTATTAGAGCTTTAGTAAACAAATAAAAATTGAAATATTTTCTTGACAATCTGTGAAGAGGATTGGTATTGCCTAGTAGTGTCGACTAAATGTTTTACACATTGGTAAATGCATTGTTTTTAAAACAATGAGCTCTTGAGGTATGTACTCTGGGTAACAAAACATATTTATTTGTCAATTTTGACTTTGATGACGAGCTTTGAATATGTGTTATTGAAAGGAAAACCTTAGAATTATGTTCGACAATGACCAATTTCCCATTTTATTATTACACATTTTTACTTATTTAAAGACAAATATATGCATATTATGCACACAAAATAAAAGGAAAAAGTAATAGTACCTTCTTTACATGTTTAGTCTATTTAACCTGGTAAGTCTTTCTTTACCAAATATCAAAAGAAAGTAGATTTTAGAAAAATATCACTCAGATAGTCGGTGGCATCATAAATACGTCGATTGAAATGCAAAGGAGCGAAGGATAATGTGATAGTAAGTAACATTCAAATTCAGATTAAAAATAGGCGGCCCTACCTTCCCAAGCTAGGAGTTACTTGGGCCAATATCGGAATATTGCATTTCGTCATTTGAAAGCGCCATGTGACAATATAAACTGCAATGTTAAGCCGTGTCATAGAAAAACGAGAACCATTTAAGTGGGGAAATATACACCCAAATGTCAATTTGTTTGAGTAATCAAAATTAATCTTCAATTAGGGTAGGGACCCAATAAAGAAACTTGTCTGAAAAATTATGATGTTGCACCTTTTCATAGCCCTCATGTACATAATCAAACGGAGTTATGTTGTTCAGCTGTTTAATCTTACGGTACTATATGACCTCAAAGGTGAAGGCATTTGTACCCTCGGTGCATGATTCATAAAACGTATATAGAGGTTCTCTAGGCAATGCTATATGCCAAATATAGAAGCATTGCATTTTTTCCACAAAAAATAGGATGTGCTTTCCTATATAATAGTCTACAAAAAGCAAGTGGCTCCCGGGGCAAGGCTCATTTTCACCTAAGAGTGATGATAAATGTAACTTATGTAGAAATATATAAATTGATGCTACATGCCAAAATCTCTATAAGCTCTGGCCTTTGTAGTTTCACACAAAAATACTGAATGTCTTTCCCTATTTAAGTCCTTATGAATAACATGATCGAGGGGCGAACAAATACTGATTCAAGGAAAATGATAATAACAGTTTTGCAGAGGTTCACATTAGGTATTGCTACATACTAAATATCATAGCTCTTGGTATTTTAGTTTCTCAAAATAACACTTTAATGTGTTTGTTTCTTTTTTTTATATATACATTTGGTGACTCCCGAAATAGCTTAGCTCTGCATATTATAGATACGACAAAAAGGGCCAAGCGACAAGGCGACATCGCAACAAAGCGCCGCTTGGCGTGCTTCGCCAGAGACATGACGAGAATGCGACAACGCGCAGTTTGGCGCGTTTCGCTAGCGGCAAGGCGAAAAAACGAAAACGCGACAACAATATAAGTTGTGTTGTCGATAACGCAACGCGCAAAGTGTAACAAATCAGCCATCATTAATAGAACAATGCTACATGTTCAATATCTAAACGCTAAGCATTGTAGTTTAACCTGAATAAGACAGTAATAGTGTTTCCTAGACAAAGCTATGTTAACTAAGTGACCCACAAGATATGGCCAATATTGACTCAATGGACATGATAAATGGGTATTGTATTGTAAAATGACATTATTGGTTACATTTCTAACAAGCAGACTCGTTTTCCTTCCACCGGTCCAAAATAAAATCAGACCAGATACAAAATTACGAACAGACGGACGGACAACCAGGTGCATAACATTATACGCCGAAATTTGTTTGGCGGATAAAAGAGGCATTCTTTATAAGACAATTTCTCTAATCGATTATCTGGTTAGAATCTATTTAAAGCAAACGAGGAAAGAGACTCATTCAAACCCGATATCCGCTTGTTTATGTAGACTAATATCAAAAAGAAATCTTAAAATTTCCTTCTTCTCCTAAACTATGAAAGCGAAGAAAATATGGCATGTTGCATCAATTGGTAAAATTCTACAAATTTAATATATTTATCATGGCCATGAGGTGAAAATAAGGGCTGGTCTTGGGGTTACATGCTTTTTGTAGAATAAGGTACAAGAAAACAAATCTACTTGATTGGTGCTCAGATCTTGTATATCTTGTATGCTACATAGTAGTAGACCTCTACAAAAGTTAAACAAAGGTAAAAACATCAGTATTTTCACTGGTGTCATGGACTACTTTTTTTCTACATTAACCGATATACAAAAGTAAAGGGCAATTCTTTCAAATCGTAATGTCAAAAATAGAAAACTTTATATAATAATACCGCAACTCATAAAATATTTCTTTTTATACCATTTGATAAAAAAAATCCTGTATTTATGGGGAAAAAAACTTGAATATCCTCTATGAGCTATTAACCATTTAAAGATAAATAAGGAATCATTTTATTTTTAATTTTACACAGACTGTTCAAATTTACGGAATCATCTAAATAATTTTCCATTCACATCGTCGATATGTCGCCCTCTTGATTATAAAGTATAACCACGACGGCCCTAACGGATTACCGTATTATTTGAATCTCGACGATATATAAATAGCTAATGATTTTGATGTACGGTCAAGGGCTTTTCTAGTTTTTTAAAGTGGAAAAATTCTTCTACATGTTCCATAAAATAATAGGACAACCGCTCATAAACAGTGTAAAGCACAAAATGTGCTGCTCCATTGCGTTAAACAAGTTTAACCCGTGTGTGTAGCAATCAGATAGCCATTAACATCTGTTAACTCTGGAAAGGTTCATTGCAGTGTAATTTAAATTTAAGTAAACGTAGCAAGTTGAAATTCAAAATGTTATTTCTGTCACAGAGCTTATGTCAGGAGTAGGATATGTCAGGACTTAAGACGTTTGTTCTATGAAAATTGTAAAATCAAAAGATAAATTGTTAAGCCTATAAAATCCAGACACATTAAACATATACAAAAAATAAAATATCAATAGTATCACTTGTTGCAAAAAAGTAATGGAAAACCGATAATGAGTTAAATAACAGATTTTTTACTCCACCTTAAATAATAAAAAAAATGAAATTAAGTTGATATTGATAAAACTTTAAACCTCTTATTCTATTAACTTATATGGTCGCTTTCGTATCGTGGCTGATTTGGAACGTTTTTGTGCGTCGTGTTGTCGCTAGCGAAAACACGACAAAGTGTCAAAAGGCGTGTTGTCGGACATTCGTCTTGTCGTCCTGTCGCTAACAATGCACGCCAAACGGCGCGTTGTCGTGCGTTGAGTTGTCGAATTGTGATATTGTCGCTCGGCTCAAATCGAAGGATTGGTACAGGGCCAAGTGACAGGCGACATCCCGCTGCATGACAACGCGCCTTTTGGCGTGCTTCGATAAAGACAGGATGACAAGACGACAGTGAGACAACGCACCGTTTGCGCATTATGCTAGCGACAAGACTAAAAGGTGATAACGACAACGCAACGCGCAAAGTGTACCAAATCAGCCACCATACTTTCGTCATAAAATGACCTCATTTGCGTTAATATGCCGCTAAACCAAACAAAAACAAAACGTGCGTGGTCGATACTGAATAGCAAATTATGTGCAAATGTATCATTCCAGTGTAATTCTTTTCCTTTTCTCACCGTAATTTTGATAGATACACACATCAACCCAAATAACATACAAATGCACATGTGAAATAAAACCACAAATATTTTATCTTAATACACTTTCAAAATAATACGTAAACTTGATGTCACAATATGTAACGAATTAAAACTTAATAATATCAATAAGTTTGAAGCACTTACCAGTAACGATAATTTCCATAACAATTAAAGCAGAAACCAACATTCTGTAATCTTGTTTACTGTATAAATTAAATATTCCTGAACGCAAAAAGGAAGTTAACATATAAGAAACATACGTTTTTCACTACGTGAATGAGGAAGTACTACACCTGGTATATTTAACTTTATTTACTAATAAAGTTTTAGTAACTTTATTATTGATCGATATATAAATCTTGGGATTTTAGCGACATAAATAAAATAAACATTTTTATAAAGGGCATGTGCATTGACAAATGCTTATGTTTATGTTTAAAATATTTTTTGAGTGGGTACACACTCTGGGTAATTCTTAAGACTGTACGATCTCGACTTCTATATACACACATATATATATATATATACCTGATTATATTATCTCTATATCTGTCGAACAAATTATGCCCCGAAAACATATATTTTTAGATAAATGAAAGCGGTTTACCCAAAGGAAACGTCTGCTTTCTAAAGAAGAATTTCAATGAAGAGAGGAAAAAACATATTTCTTGTAAATCAAAGTAAGTTCTTAAGAAAGTCTTTAGTTTAAGATAATTAATCTTAATTATTATTTTATTATTTTTAATCTCTAACACTATTGTAGCCAAAGAAGAGAAAAAAACCTTTTCGAACTATGTTGTCATCATTTATCGTCTTATTTTAAACAGGCATATATAAATTGTTTGTTTGTTTGATTTGGTTTTACGTCACACCGACACAGTATAGGTCATTTGGCGACGTTCCAGCTTTACTGATGGAGGAAGACTTCAGATGCCCTTCCGAGCATTATTTTGAAGTCACGAACGGGCACCTGAGTAGAACCACCGACGTTCCGTAAGATAGCTGGATAGGGCATATAAATTATACAGGGGGGGGGGGGGTGTGGTCAGTATACTCTTCCGTGGGTATGTCTAATTAAAGATTTTCTAAGTTTTCATTATCATTATTCCAGAAGGAAAACAAGCAAATTATCTGTTGATTTAAACAGGGTCTTTCAAAGAGAATTTATTTTCTGTTCGAAAGACCCTGATTTAAATTTGTTTAAAATTTTTATATAAGTTAAAATGATTAACTAGCTTTTTCAATTGACATTTTTTGTATATCTTTTATATCTAGTTTGCTAGAGTAATCATCATTTGTGTCGTAATTTTTAGAGAACAAAATATTTTAATTTAAAGAATTGAAAGAATGTTTTATGAAAACAAATGGTATAAGAATATTAAACAACTAAACTATTGTTATATCTTTCATGTTTCAATAATAATCTGATAAAGATATCATTTGTTCAAATGATATTATAAAGGCGTAATTGGCTTGTTGACAGAATCTTTAATGTAGGATAGTCTTTGTCATCTAATTAATAGTTTATAATTGATCTTAAAAAACAAGTCACTGGTAAAGTATTTATTTTATATCTATCCTGGAAAACGTTCAAATAACGCGTAGCCATGGACCAGATGACAAAGGCTTCACAAACTTGAAAAATGCCTCGTATGGTGGCTGATTTACACCATGGCGTATTTTCGGGTTGTCGCCACAAAAATATTTAAAAAAAATAAAGATAAGAAAAAGTTCAACTTTCTCGCACTGTTTGATATCACATTTTGTGGTATATGATTTGTGCCATGTCTTATATCGCTCAGCGCTCCGCCAGATGAAAATACGAAAACCACTATGCCGTTTTTTTCATGTTTTTGCCTTGTGCCCCGCAGAGCAAGAGTACGACAAAATGGTCGCATTGGCGTAATTTTGTGTGTCTGCCTCTTGCCACGCACAAATCAGCCACCATATATTTTTGAATTTTACGTGGCGAAACAGCTGAAGGTAAAAAAAGTACGACACATCAAATGCATTTTGCGTTACATCTATTGACATGATGCTTTTTGTGGCGGAAAAGCAGCAGTTAACTTTATAGTATTTTCGCATCGTCACAATTTTCGCCAGTTGGCTTTGGTGCAATTTACTTCCTTCCCTTCACATTGCCGTTTGTTCGCTTTCATTTTGTACAAGCGCATGCGCACATCAATTAAAACGGAGAAAGCTCCCAAGTTGTGTAACCTATAATTTTGATTATAACTTGACTCGTGGTTTTGTCGCTATACACATGAATAAAAAAGCGTTGTCAAGGAGGTGCACTTAAACTTCGATTAGTGACTACATGTTTATGCGTTTGTTTTATTTATACATGAATAAACTTATACAAAGGCCTTTTTATTATGTTTTCCGTTCCTATTCTGTTTTCTTCACGATATTATGTAAAACAATAAACTATTCATAACCACTTACGCGGAAAGTTTAGATTTACTTTATTTTTTATCTATTTTAATTGATACCATGTGTGATAAGAATTTTATTCATAACCTGCAAAATGACGTCATCCTAAGCGAAGGGATCACAATGATAAAATGATTTAGTACCCCACTGAAAAGAATAAATTCTGATATATAAGCTTTAATACTTGGAAACTTGGTATAATATCACTTTAAGGATAACGAAATATACCACACTAATACTATAACTTGTTATCTTTATTTCATTTATTACGTTTGTCTTAGTAGGGTGCCGAACAGAACAGACCACTACGAAAATCGACATCGAAAAAAATCTGCGTATTTTGACTTGTTAGAATCAGTCCTAGCAATACGGAGTTTTGATGTGTAGGTACTGACCTCGTAAATCTGGATTGTTAATTTTTCGCATAAAAACTACAAAAATCAATCAATCAATAAATAAATCAATCAAGCAAACCAGCAAACAAGCAAGCAATAAATTAATAAATATGGAAATAGATAAAACTTTTATATTAAATTTTACTTTTAAGTAAATAAATAAATGAATAAATAAATAAATAAACAAATAAATAAATAAATAAATAAATAAATAAATACATAAATAAATGCATACATACATACATACATACATTTATATTTTTGATATCAGGTACAAAGTAGGACTTGATTGTACAAATGTGTTATTCGCATTTACGTGGCGTAAAAAGCAAAAATATGATATGGGCTATATCAGCCACCATACTTTCAATATATCAACAGTCTTTCATAACAAAATTACCAGTATTAGATAATTGACAAAAATAAACTGTTTTAAAATGTATTTTATATGCCAAGAAGGCGAGTTATTACATTTGGAATAAAACCTTAATGACGAGAGGAATACATCGAGGTAAATAAATATTTATTCTTTTTAATTTAATAAATTATTTTAGATAGAAAACAAAGCAGTTCATTCAAATATAATTTTCTTCAATGTATCAATTGTGTTATCAGAAAATTATATCATTCGGAGGATTTTGTAAAAAAAAACAGATAAAAAAACACAAAAAAACAACAACAACAAAAACAACAAGAAAAAACTATCAAACATAACTCTGAAAAGATCATTTCCATTGATACTTTGTGATACTTTTCTATTGATGTTATAAATGTTTTCAATATTTGATTTTTTTTCTTAAAAGGGTTTATGTATATATTCTAAACTGGTTATTTTAGACAAGTGCACATACAACATACAATTTTCACAAACATGTCTTGATTAGAAAGCAAGTTGAACATTTCAACATTGAAGAATTGTAAGCTTTTAACGTTGTACTGACATTTAAATTGCAACGATGCTTCAACATTCTAATCCAAATATAAATCTAACGTTATGACAACGTTGAAATCTGACCATATATCAATGTTGTAAAAACGTTGATTTGCCTACTGAGTCAGATATTACCATCCTACTAGTCATCTTATTGTTTTTGTGTCCTTTTCAGATAAATCTGATGGTCTTTTTTTGTTCAAACAATCATAATGTTGCAAGCCATTACGACTGAACTATTTCGTTCGCACCACATAGTGACTCGTGGCCACGACAAAGTATCTCGTGCGCACCACTAAATTATCTCGCGTGCACGTCTAAGTAACTAGTGTCCACGACAATGTATTTCATGAGCACCACTTAATTACCTTCTCCCATGACTAAGTAACTCGTGGCCAAGTCATAGTAGCTCATGCACACCACTCACTAACTCACTCGTGGCCATGACATAGTATTTCGCATGCACCACTGAATTATCTCGTTCCCACGACATAGTAACTCGTGGCCACGGCATAGTATCTAGTGCGCACCACTTGATTATCTCGTGTGCACGACTTAGTAACTCGCAGCCTCGACATAGTATCTCGTGCGCTGTACATTACGCATACAGTTTACATAGTTTCTGTATTCATGAAATTGCAGGCCTGGTTTGTTTGAATCTGTACATGAGGGATTATGAAAAGAGCAAATTTTACGCCTCTCCTTGCAGTGAATATTGACAGATCTGTTGTTGAAAATGAATTGCTGAAACATTGTAGACTTTCTTGTTTACTATATGTTCATCTCAAATTGAGAGGCATACGGCATATTTTCTCTTCAGTCATAACGAATCTATGATTGTTATATGAATTCACACTGTTTAAATGTTAGAGTTTAAAAAGAAAAAAAAGTTTTTACCTAGGAAATCTAAAAAATAACAGTATTTTAAATTTATTTTCAATATTGATTTTTACTTTTTAACGCAATGAAGATTTTCAACCTGAATAAAACTTTTTATGTTATCAGATTTGGGGCCCCAGTACAACACTTAAAATTCCCGGGGTCTGCAAAATTTTCGTGTAACTTTGTTGTGATTAATGCTTCGGAGGGATCACTCTTTCGCAAGATTTTTTATCAGTTAATAAATGTGATTAAGCTGTGTCTATTTCTGCAATCACCATAGTAAAGTGTATAATTTACAACAGCAGCCCTTTTTTGTTTCCCAACTATAATCACGTGACAGGCTTGTCGATACAGTGAATAAGATAAGGCTGTCACAAAAATACATTTGTATTTTTTATTGCCATTATGGTCCTTAAGCTAGAATATTGAATAACATTTGAGACATGTGTTTCATATTGCAGAGGAAATCACGGTTTAAACATCAATGAAAGACATATACATGTAATATTTTAAGTTTCTCATTCAGTGCACTTTGCATAAAATTTATAAATAGGCTTAAGATAATTAGTATTCGCATTCTATATTTTAAACAGTTACTATAAATCTGTAATTATTGCATGCATTCAATGAACAATAA